ACGAGATTCGGAAATTTTAGGAAATCTGCTGATACGGATGTCACGTGGATTTCAGCATCATCCGATTTCAGCATCATCCCCGACATATATTAAAATTTAAATAGGGAACACCTATTTTCACCATGGTTTTTTGCTATTTTTATCATGAATTACGCAAAATTTTATTTTTAATAACCAATCAAATTAAAAATTTAATTTTTTTAAAAATTAAAAAATTTTTATTAAGTTAGAGTTTCTAAGTAAAGTTATAGAACAAATTTTTCTGGTTCTAATTAGGTTTAAGTCCGGAACGAAGTCACATGAGATTATTGTATTGCACAAATTGCATTGGGCAAACAGAAATTTTCATTACTCCCTGGTCAATCCCATCTATATAACTTTTTTCATGTACTTATTTCTACTGGACATATATTTATTTAATTTAGGTAGTTTGGTATTATCCTATTTAATCTTAAATGTCAAGAAAGTTATGCTACATAGATGGCAGGGGATCAATCAGTTATATATTGTGTAGTTGGATATAAGCGAAAATTTGTAGTAAAGTATAACCGACCGCCGATTATACTTACTGCAAAATTCCACTTATACCCAACTGCCCAGGAAATAACTATTACAAATTACGTTTTTGATGTGATACCATGAATTGATTAATCTAATACATCAAAAACACAACATTTGATGCACCAATTAATGTATCACTTTACTGATTATTTAGGATCTTTGCTACGTAGGAAAATGACTGTTGATTTTGTGAATAATAATTAAATTTGCCGGCCATCTTGTTATCCAATTCGAATGATTTTTTTTGTAGAGCTTACAAAATAAAAAAAAGTTCATTTAAATTGGATAACTAGATGGTTGGCAAATGTAATTATTATTCACAAAATCAACATAGCATCCGGAGGGTCATTTTCCTAGCAAAAACCCGCACCGGACAATAAATCATATCACAGATACCGTATATATATGAGGTGCGCATTATTTAGGGACGTTATCTTGAAACCTCGTAGACTATTTTGAGGGGACGCGATTTTCTAAATAACGTCCATACCCGTTATTTCGCGGAAATACGGTAAATGGAAGGAATATAATTAACAATAAGATCCGGCTAGATTAACAATTAGATATATAGTAAAGTTTAGATTGATTATATTCGTTACTTAACATTTTAGAAACGTTTGTTGCAAACTCATATGATCATAAATCAATTTCTGCACGATGGTACGTAAATAAATTTAATTACGATAAATAATAAGTAATAAAAGCCCAAGGTCTTGTTTTTCTGGAATTACTCATATAAAGTACAAATATGTACTATACGTTATTGTTATTGCCGCGCGCGGGCAATAAATTATAGCTTTGAGCGATGCATCACTTGACGGTCAGTGTTCATATAAAATTTTTATTTGGACAAATTTGGACATATAATTTGGACATATAATCGAAATTTTTATTGGACACTGTTGACGATTATTGAGAATCAGAAAATTAATGCGTAAAAAACTGTTATTATTAGGTTCAGATAATAAAAGAGTATGATTCTCTTGATTAATATTGTTACGAATCAATTTATTTTGATTGGAAATATCTTTAAAAATATTCGCTATAAACAAGTTTCACTAAAAGAAGTATTGGTTTTACAATATTGTTATTAAGTAGTTATTACATATAATTAAGAAGTTTAAAATCGACATAAAGTTGAATATACAAAATCTGAAAAGCTTGAATATGTTGAGAGTAATTAAAGTTATGATTCTGTAAGATCATACAGTTTTTGCCGTGACCGTAACGTAACTGTCGTATGTCGTATTATGCAACGATGTTTAAAAAAATGTGGTCATATGTATAACATCGTTCTTGCAATTTTATTGGTCGGTATGCTTTTTCTAATGCTGTACATGTGTGTGTTAATAATGTTATGTATTTTAATATATGATTACTATTATTATCGTCTGCTAGTGACAAGACCATGATTTTCGTTATTCATTTCAACATTATTAGAATTCATCATATCATCATCATCATCATCGCTTTGAATATTAGAGATGACAAAATCTCTAGCTTCTGCTTCGCTATATCCAAATTTGTCACTAGTCGATTCATTCCCTAGAGTAGTCGCTGATGGTAAGTCATCGTCATCCTTATGAGATAAGTTAGTTGACGAGTGTATACCAAGCATACTATGTTTAGACGCGTAGGTACTGAAAATTAGAAAACATATTAAATATCAATATAATATTATTAATTATTATATTAATTCTATATATAGTAAAGTGCTTACTTGGTTGATCGTAAATATTCTGTAATTAATTGCCCCGTTGTTAATCCTACAACCTTTGATAAGATAAAGATATCAATCGATACACTTTAATTGATTTTTAATGAATTCATTAATTCACATACCACTATTATAAAAAGTTGTGAGTTCATAGTCATTGTAATCAACATATAAAATAGTCTAAATATTGTGGCCATTGAATATCCAAAAGTTCTTAACAAAATAGTTCTAATTCTTGGCCGATTCCTCTCATATCTTAAATATTCTAAACGATATGATAACAACCTCTCTGACCAACAAAGGAGTGTGATAAACATGCAGGCGGCTATAAAAGAAAATAGTGTTTTTACTTCAAACCCAGCAAAAAGGATTACCAGATAAGAAAAATCTACGCCACAAACAGTTTTTAAGCTTAGTATTTGTTTTTATTTTAATATATGTAATAAGGCAATTAAAAAAAACAAACTATTTCTCACCGCTATTAAAATATGAAGAATGCCCTGACTCTTCCATTTTCTCTGAGGTCATATTTTTTTGCATACTTTATAATTTATGCCTCTAGTCCCCTACTACGTATGGAAGGAAACGAGGTGCCGCAATCAATTTCTAAGGCTTAGCTATTTGTAATTTCGAAGACAAGATAATTTACTTGTAAGTAAATGCCTATTAATAATGTACTATACTTTGCACGTGATTTAGATACATTGTTTTTTGGTGTAGCCTTGCATAAGCCAATCATAAGCTTTATTGAAATAAAGTGCTGCAAATAATTGCGATAATAGTAAATATTATATTTATCGGTCAAGTGAAATGTCTGAAAATTTTCAGGGTAATGATTTAATTAGTGGATCTGCAAGTTGCAGCACATATGAAAT